GCTCTTTAAAACCTTAATTGTTATTAGATAAAATGTTGTTTTGTACAGTAAAAAATTAGTAATTAGTAAAATAATTTTGTTGTTGGTCAGAACTTTAAATAAATCAGATCTTAATTGTGGTTTTGTGCAACTAAGTATATATGTAATTCATTTGCGACAACATATAAGCTATACTCCCCTGGCCTACTTTTATACGTTCAAACTATTTTTTAGTCATCTTTATAAAGTAAGTACTGTAACTACATAATTTTTTTTAACACTACAAACATAAATATCTATGATCTTTTGTAAATAACTCATATTCATATATCATATAAAGAACAATGACACTATTTACAATATGGAAAATGCTTCAAACGTAGTCTATATAAATGAAACTGAACTCACATGTGCTTCTAATTGAAACATGATTTGAAGAAGTGAGTGTGCCACTTGCGACATCTTGATTAGTAATATCAATTAAAGCTGAACGATTGTCATTTTGTCGAGCATCTCTCCTTAATTGGTAAGTAGCCCGCCTTTGAGCATTTCGGGCAATAGCTTCTTGTTCAAGTTGCTCAGGGGTCATCCTTTCTCGTGATAGCCTACGATAGTATGATGTAGATGACATTTGATTTTCCATACCTTGAAACATAACAAAAAAAAATTATAAATTTATAAACAACCAAAATCATATATTATTATGTTTCCCTAAACCTCTTTATTAGATTTCCCAAAAACTCACCTTGCAATACCTAGTTATATTTGAATAGGGAGCATTAATCTAGTACATTGCAATTGAAGAATGAAAAAAGTGGATGTCAATAGAAAAGGAAAAACAGTTACTACTGTACTCATGTTTTTAAGGGAATATAACTCCTAATTTGATAGTGGACATGGTTACGTCATAATTCATTTCTTAAATGTTAAGAGAAGTTACTTTCTTATTTGGATAATAGTGTGAGTAGTTGTTTTTTAATAATACAATAGAGACTTAGTGTAGTAACGTAGTAAAACTGTATGTGAAAAAAAAAACGTTAAAAGAAATGTAATTTATTATTTTTTTTTATTTTGACAAAAAGGTTATTGAATAATCTAAGAAGTAGAAATAAAATTTATATTGATGTTTTTTTTAATTAAATGGATGAATATTTAGATATATATATAGTTAGTGAGGAAGATCATGATAATGATGATATATTAATGGGAAAGAGTTGATGACATGTTTAATAATAGTGGTTGTCGATACATTTTTTTAATATTTTTTTTTGTTGGAGTAAAGAAGCAGTTTTGATTGAGTCCAAATGAAAAATAACCTTTGAAATTGTATCCCATATAAGATGGTAGATTTTTTTTTATATGAGGACGGTTTTTTTTTTTTTTTTTTTTTTTTTTTTTTTTTTTTTGTAGGATAGTGACTAATTTAATTTAATCAATTCTTATCCCAACAGTAGATAGTGGAATTATGATAACTTTGAAATGTTAGGTTTGGTTTCCAAAGCATGGTATAATTATATATGATAGATTAAAAATAATCCTCCATTAATTATGGAATATTCATGTATACGTTGTACATGTGTTGAAATTTAACTTTATGAATTCTTTGTTTCATATTACATATTACGTTGATGATCAATAACTTGATGAATTCTTTGTTTAAGTTAGACTTTTATCATTTATTTCTTTGTGAAAATATTGTTGAAAGTAAGAGTATGAACATTGATTACATTGCAAAATAGTAAAATTTGTATAAAGACTATATATTTACATATCACATAATGTACAAACTAATAAATTCTTTTACAAAGTGCTAAACTATATAAGTAAAACTTTATGGAGCACCATCAACAACGCGTTGGCTTCATGATTGATTTATAGTCATTTCTCGTCTCCTAAAAAAAATAGAATCAATATAGTGAATATAGCATATAATAGTTTAGTTACATTGAACTAAAATATGTTATGAATGTGCTCACCTTTTAAGTAAATATGCACATTCTTCCTCCCAATTAACAAATGTGACATAAATAACTTTGTAGTGTGACAATAAAGAACTTTGGGATGTAAGAGTAAAAACATATGAGGTATCATAATGTGTATGTAACAACATCATCATCTCTTTCTCATTTACCTGTGTATAATATAAAATATAATAATGTTAGAAAAAGAAATAAATGAGATGACAAGTAAAAATATGTTGTGTAGATTAACCCGTTCATGCAAGTCCTTTAATTGGGACACAGTAGACCGAAGAAGGAATTCAATTTGTTGGTTTAACAAAATCAAATGCAATATTCCACTTGAGTCTCTGATAGTAATCTTGAGTGATAAACTGTTTACCAAAATAAATACATAACAATTTTAAAAACTGATTAAAAATAAGAAATGATTGATACAGACTAAAAATAATTCAGGGAATTTACCCTTGAATGATTTCAGGATTATATTTGTGGCAATTTGAACATGTCCTTTGATCACCAGAATAATTGACTTTATAATTGCAAATAGAGCATGCATCATACCATGTGAGGCTTTTTACATTAATATCAACCAACATCCCAAGAACTCTATATACCTTTCCCTGTAAATTATAAGGAAAAGATACATGGACAATTTATAAAGTACAACAATTTAAAAATATAATTATGTAAAAACAAATAAAAGATAATTTGGACAATTTAATAAGTATTAAATAATAAAACTTGAATAATTGAAAATAATAGTTGATGGAAAAAAAAAGTAAATAGTGTATTTATTGAAATATGGTGAAATATTACACTTGGCCTTGATGGAAACTTAAATGTTGTAGTACGACGGGCATTTGATATCAAAAGTGTCCGATGTAACGAAAGTCCACATGTTTGTATCCACTTAGCTTTTGATTGAGCAAAGTAATCATTACAATACCTTTTAAAAAAATTAAGATTGCATTAGATATTTTAAGTAACATGCTGATCATATTTTTTAAAAAATACATATCATCCTCAATGTATAAGAAAGTGACGGTTGAAATTATTAGTTTAATATTATTATTTATGTATATAAAAAAATCATTAATATAACAAAAATAGAAAAAAGCATTACAATAACATAAATTACTAACCATTTTGCTATTTCATGGGAAGTAGAATCATTGTGATTGATATATAACCTTGTGTACCTTCCGGATGTCAAATGTAGTGTACCTAAAAGGTGAGTTTAGAATAATTAAATCAATATCTACATAAAATTAATCTTTTGTAGTAGCAAACTATGATTTTATAATAAAAATTGTTCATGTAATTAAGTTTACCATTATAATTTTGAAGTTGGACACTACATGCAAGCAAAGTGAGATTTTGATCATAATCTTCTATAGCTCTTTCACCAATGTCGTTGACAAAGCTATTCCATATTGTCAATCTCGTAGCAAAACAACTATTTAAAAAAATTTAGTTCATTAGAATAAAGTAATATATATATATATATATATATATATATATATATATAAATATATAAATAAATAAATAATATTGCGTCATTATCATATTGGGATTTGTTAAGATATTATTAGATATGCTTATCTTATATTTTTGGGTAGTTACCTTGTTTATAGGATAAATAGATGATATCTTAATATGGTTTTGATATCTTAGTAGTAAAGCAGTGTACGATATAAATTAAATTAATGAATGAATGCATGAGTGATTGAGTGGGCAAGCTTTCAAGTCCTCTAAAACTTTAGATTTTACCTTTGATCAAGCAGGATAATATCTTGTTTAATAGTACCCGTAATGTCATTCCGGTGAATCTCACTTGCATATATAATTAGTCCCACAACATCTAATTTAAAAAATAAAAAACATAAAAGGAAAAATATTAATTAATTGATTACTGAAGATTTCCAAAAAAAAAAAAACAAAGTACTGTAAATAAAAATAAAATGTAAAATGAAAGGTGATATATTAACCTATCACAATTCCTTCAATGCGCTTGAATGAGGTCACACCGTGTAAAGACACCAAATTGTAGAAGTACTTGGGGAAATCTTCAATGTCGGTATCAATCAAGGATATTTCTGTGTCTGTCGTAATGTTGAGTTGATACGGATTACGAACTATTCGTAACCAATCGTCAGCTTGAATAACTTGTACCCTTTTAAAACAGTACACTAAACCTTCTTGAAATTTGCCAATAAAATTGTCAACATCCTTTGTAAATATAATACCTTGAATGGGTTCTCCCTGTAAAAAAATATAGATAAATATAAATGAGTATGTTATTTTTTAAAAAATAAAAAATATAATAAGAATGCACTGTAAAGAGGAAGTATAAAAAATGTTTACACACCGTAGCATCAAGAAGAACCATTTTCCAATTTTTTTTGTTATTATTGACATGATGAATTTCATACAATCTAATTATCCTTGCCTTTACATTCCAAAATTTGGAGTACGGGTTCAAATACACGAAAGGAGCGTAAGCAATTGACATCCTGCAAATAAAAGAAGATGAAAATGAGTAGATAGTTTAAATGATTGGCAAAATTGAAAAAAAAGAAAAGAAAAGAGATTGACTATAAAAGTTATGGAGTTTAATAAATCAATAATTTCGATATGATAAAACCAAATTCGTCTATTATTAGTGCCCAAAATACTAACCTTGCAATACTAAAAACACACAGTTGAATTTGAAAAGAGAGTGTTAGTCTTCCAAATTAAGATTAGAAAATATAGAATTGGATGTAAAAGGAGAAAAGGAAGAGTAACTACTGTTTGTTCTTATATTTGTATTGGAGGATTACTGCTAGGAAGTAATTTGATAGTAGTGGACATGTGTTCACCTACTAATGCAACACCTAATTTCAAGGAGCAGGTTTTTTTATTTTTTTTATTTATATATATATATATATTTTTTTGGCTTTGAATGGAACCGTAGATAACAGTTCTATTTTTACCACCAATTGAATAGGATGCACGTGCATGGAACTTTATTTGATATTTTTTTTCTTTTTTTTAATATGTTTGTATAATTCACTAACTATGAAAGGGTATTTTTGGAAAGGGAAAATTCCCAACCAAAAAAGGGTGTTCCCTTTAAAGATTAACATATATTTGTAACGGGCAAAATAGTGTCCGTTACAAATACTTAGTTATTTGTAATGGGCAAATTAATGTCTGTTACGAATACTTATTTATTTATAACGGATAAATTAGTGCCCGTTACAAATACTCATTTAGTTGTAACCGGCATCATTTGCCCGTTACAAATACTCATTTAGTTGTAACCGTCATCATTTGCCCGTTACGGATACTATATTACATGTAATGGGCATATTCTGCCCGATACAACTGCTTGATGAGCTTTGGCCCAAATGATGAGAGGAGCCGAATACTTGGCTTTGGCTTTTTATTAGGGTTATACCTAGCCGTCATTCACCTCTTTTCTCTCATTTCATACTCAGTCACTTTCTCTCCTCCCCTCCCCTCTCCTCTCCTCCATCAATCTTCCCCTTCCATCCAGTTGGTGATGAAACGAGGCGAGAAAAACGGCGAGATGGGACGAGGAGAGAGAAAAAATGGTGAAATTGGGGGGTTTTGATGATTTTTAGATCGGAGGGTTTATTGATTTTGCTCTGGGGCTTCTCCATTCTCCAACTCGCTGGATCTAGCTTAGTCTACTCAGCTTTCCTCCTTTTAACTTTTTCTTCATCAAACCCTGGTTCCCACGCCAATTTCTACTCCTCTTCGACGATCGGTCATTAGGTCAACATCAATGAGTTCCTCGATTTTCTCTGCTAATTTTAGAATTTATGCTTTATTCGTTTTTTTCATCATTATTCTGATAATTTAATCATCCATAATTTTGATAATTTATATTTAATTTTTCTGGGTTATTGTTTGTTTTTTGTTTGTTGTTACTTAGACTGTTTGTTTGGTATTATGCGAGTGCCAATGTGCTTCGAAGGGAGTTTAAACATGGCGGTCTCGTTTTAGATTGTTGCTTTCATGATGATACATCTGTTTTCAGTGCCCGTGGTGATTCCACTGTTCGACGGTGGGTGTTTTCTCTTTTAATTTTTTGTATTTTTTTCAAATTTTCTGGGTTTTTTTTGTTTGAATAAAATTTGATTCTTGTTTATGAGGTTTTTATGTTGGGATTTAAGGATGATAAAGTTGATATGGAATACTTTGTAGAATACTCGACTAGTTTTTTATTTCTGGTTTTATCTTTGGTTTTTTCATTTGAGTTATAAGGTTAATTTCAAGAATTCGTAAATTTTGGTTGAATTTGGTGTATTATTCGAAGATTTGTTGCAGAATTTAGGAGTGCTATTTTTAACAATTGTTTAGGATCTTTAGAAATTGGTGGTATGCTATTTTGCCAATTTTGCTAGATACTATTATACTAAGGCCCTGTTCTCTTCACCAATATTAAGTAAAAATAATTTCAGTTCAGTAAAATTAATTTCAGTTCAGTAAAAATAAGTTCAGTTCGGTTAAACTAAGTTTAGTTCGGTAAAATTCAGTTTTCTTAAAGAAGAATTATAATAGAAAATCAGTAAAAATAATTTCAATTCAGTAAAAATAATTTCAGTTCAGTAAAATTAAGTTCAGTTCAGTAAAAATAAGTTCAATTCAGCAAAAATAATTTCAGTTCAGCAAAATTAAGGTGTATCAAACAGGGATGTGTGTACCCATTATTTATTTGTGTACTGTTTATCTTACCAATATAGTGTGCTTTGATAGGGTGCTTAATGGGGAAAAGTTGCTTACTTGCTTCATTTTCAATTCGTGGTTAGATGGTCCCGTAATCTTAAATATATACCTTTATGAATAAGAACCATCCTCTCAGTGATTTGTAAAAGGTTGGAATTGGGTGCCTTGATTTAATTTTTCATCTTGAAATGAAGCTTATTTTCTTCATGAGTTGAACTACCCAATTGTGGAAGGATTCGTCTAGCTCATGTATAGCTGGTATGCGAAATAACAATTGGGTAGTGTAAGAATGTATGCATATGATTCAACGAAAACCCTGCTTTATGTTATTTGTGCTGTGGTGTTCTATGTGTGGACAGTGGACATGGTTTTTGGAAAATATGTTAGCTAAGAGGGATGAGTGATGATTCGCTTGACTTGTAGTGATGACGCGTCTTACAGTGTATGTTGCAGCAGGTTTGAAGAGAAAACTTGGGCATTCTTGTTATTTTTTGGAGAGCCTGATTAGTAGGTTAAGGAGAACTTGTCACATTGTTTGTTATTTTCTACTTGTTCATGTTTTTTGTCTAGGGAAAAAGACTGTCAGATTAGTAAAAGCATAATTTTTTGCAAATGGATCGAGTATTTCTGAATTATCTTTCCTGATTGATCAAGATTTTGAATGGTTAAACCATAGTAGATGATATGTGATTTTTGTGTTATTGGTCAAACGGGATTGATGCAAGTGTAAAATAAAATATATAAATGTCTTTGTGCAAATTCCCAGTCAGTAGCAAAATGTAAAAGTCATGATCATTGCGAAGGAAGAGGGAATATAATAGATTGCCTGAGTTTGACAAGAAATTTGAAATGATATGTAATGTGAAATGGATTATATGTCTGGTTGATGCGATAAGATTGACAATGGAGATGAGATTGCAATACTTTATCGGAATGGCGGTGTATCAATATTATCATGTACTAATTGTTTGTTGAATTACTACTGTTTACGAAGTATGTGTGTGTTGAAGTTGGAGCTTTGGTCGAGGGATTCATTCGATTCGATAGGTGTGAGATTGTTGAAATCTATAGTAATACTTGTGTGTTTGTTGAAACTGGATCATCTAATTGTAATGTGTTACTTTTTTTCATTTGCGGATCATCAAATTATAGTAATACTTATTAACATTGGTGAAACTGTTTCTGTGCAGTAAGACACATGGAATGGGAGTTGCGCGCAAGTTGAAGTCCTACCGCAGAAGGCAAAGGTGGGCTGACAAGTCATACAAGAAGTCACATCTTGGAAATGAGTGCAAGAAGCCATTTGTTGGCTCTTCCCATGCTAAGGGCATTGTTTTGGAAAAGATGTAGGATTATGTTAGCTCTCTGGTTATTTTTTTTAATTGTGTATATGCTTTTTTCGTATGAGAACTTACACATGTAGTGGTCATATAAACCGTATCTTTGTTTTAAATCTTAATTGTTATAATTTATCTCTTGCAGTTGTTTAAGATGGAAATGTGAGTGTTGGAATGTGGGTGGAAAATTTCAACTGCACAAAACCAGTGGAATACGTTCAAAGCCTCAAGTTCTGTCAGTTTGGATGTATAGAAGATTATTACACTGCTCATTACTAATCTCCGAAACAGATGATCTGTCTATGAGCAAGTTGCAACAGCTAGGCCGCCCAGTTTGCTGTAACATAAGATGATAGTGATTTACAGGGAAGCCGGCTGCCCTGTTTGCTGATCGTCGAATAGATGGCAAATTTTTGAAGCCAAATATCAGTTTCCCCTTTTGGATTATTTTGACATTGTTAAATTGCTGGTTGCATAGTGTTTTTTCTTTCTTTTTTTTTTTTTTTTTTTTTGTTAGATTAGTATCTAATACTCTCTCCTTATACTTTCTTATCAGGTATTACGAGGTGGGTGAATAGCGTCCTGGAAGCTCATCGTGGACTATAGATTAACTGAGGGTGATTTTTGTCCGTGAAAGACCTTGAGTGTCTTCTGAAATATTTTCCAGCCCTTTGCTTCAGGATCTCTTTCGACATACCTTCAGCAATTGGAGTACTTAAAATGGGACTTGCTCCTGAATGTTCACTTAAAATTTTCTTTGAGGTTGTCATTCTTGTAGATTTATGCAGTTGTGCTTAGCTCACATCACCGCTCGTTAGCTTCTACGTACCTAGCACAGCTTCCCATCAAAGAACAACCTGTTCTAGTGAGTTGTAAACTTGTAACTTGTGCGCAAGTCTCCTTTTACATATGTTGTATTCATATTATTGTACACTGGTTTTCTTACTTTGACTTCCATGTCTATCAATTTTCTTCATATTTTTACAATTTATTTAAACACACATTTGTTGTTTATTGTATAATATACCCTGGTGGCTTGGTTGTTGCTGTTTATGATTGTTTATTGTATATTCACTGGTTGTGGGGTCTCACTCCAAAGTTGATGGCACTATCTTATTGTTTCAATTGGGTGCTAGTTTTGGTAACTGTCTAATGAAATTTTTGATGTTATTTGTCTTGGTCTTTGTAAAAACTTCAGAGAATCATTCTCTGTAGAGTCTGTATTAACCAGTAACTCCTCATTTATTGGTAATAGTATGAATATTATCAAGGAAAATGCTATGCATGATCCAAAAGCTGAAATCTCCACCATTAACAAAGCTTTGATAATTAGGAGCACCTTAAAAGTTGCAAGTTAGAATTGACTATCTTTAATATTGATTTATTTCTGTGAAATCAACAGGAAAACTAAGGTAAACACCAAAGCTCACAACCATATATGGAAGAATCCATTGTTGCATCAGCTGTCCAGTGGGTTGGCTCTATATTGATTCAAGAGGCCAATATATTATTCGATGTTGCAGATCAAGTACGGGGCCTTCAACAAGAGCTTGAACTGATGTAGCAATACCTCCAAGATGCTGATGCAAAGCATGAAAAGGAAGAAATAATTGGTGTTCTTATACGACAAATTACAAAGCTTGCATATATGATGCTCTGAGGATGTGATTGACATGTATATTCTCAATGTACAAGTCATGTCTAAAGAGAGCTGGATCATGAGATTTGCTTGCTTCATGCATAGTGCCCCAAAGATGTATGAGCTGGGAAGCATATATATGAAACACGAGAAGAAGTTAAGAAAATCATTGAAAAGATAAATAGCTTTGGACTAAGAAGAATCAATGAAGCAGAAGGTTTTTAGGTTTAGTTATTAGGCGATAATAAATGTATTTTTTTTTGCTGATTGTATAAATATGAAGTACTATTTTTATCTAAATTAATTAATAAAATAATTGTGTTATAAATTTTATGCAAGCTAGCTAATCCAGCACAGGATGTAAAAATTGGGGTACACACTATTTGTAACGGGCAATTGAAATTCCTGTTACAAATAAGTCGTTATTTGTAACGGGCACTTGAAATGCCCGTTACGAATAACGGGCACTTGAAATGCCCGTTATGAATAACGGGCACTTGAAATGCCCGTTATGAATAACGGGCACTTGAAATGCCCGTAATGAATAACCCGTTATTTGTAACGGACACTGCCCGTTACAAATAACACTAGCTATCCGTAACGGTAGAATATGTAACGCCCGCTGCCCGTTATGGATAGGCCTTTTTTGCCTGTTACGGATAGCTATTTTTCCACTAGTGATTCGATATTTGATGTTTGTTCATCACCATTAATCTCCTTAAGAACAAGCAGTTTACCATCAAAAAACCACGGACATCCCTCAATAACATTTTCTTTATCAGCCTCACTAAAAAATGAGGGAGCCCCAGTTAATCTCTGAGATTAACATTTCAAGTTAATCTCATCTCACAACTTTCTGCATTTATTTCTGTGCCATTTACTATATCACTTTTATTATTTAAAAAATAAAAGTAAAATAATATTTTGTGAGAGGAGATATATTTTCATGTTTATCTCAGAGATAAACTTGAATTTTTCCCTAAAAAATTGAAATACAAAAAGGTTCATCTCTACCATTTAAATCACCACATTGTCTTGAAGTTTCCATGTTGTCGTCAGAGTGCGCTTCATAGCCTCCACATTGAAAGGCTTGGTCGTGAGCACTTTCCCTACCAATGATAGGGTAATTTGGTTCTTTATACCTTCATCCTTGACATCATGAGTTATCACCAATGATTTTTGTCTCCTCCTCAGTCAGTTTAATTTTCTCAAATCGTTCAATAAATCTTCAGCCATGGGTTTCAATAATTGCTAAATTTGACATAAAGGATTATGCGTGAGAGAATTGTGAGAATTACAGGGAAGAAAATCTAGAATTGCTAATGTACGTACAAACCGTAGGCAAGGGACGTACAAACCCTAGATGAGGGACTTTTAAGTAGATCATTTATTTACTCTAATCAACCTCTTAAAAAGTGTGCTAAAAGATGTGTTGTATCTAATAGAAAATGAAGGAAATGTTATAAAATAGAGGAAAGAAAGAATGAAAAATAAAAATGTAATATAAATATTGATTATATATTCCATTTTCTATACAACTTATATATATATATACATTTGAATTGTAACTTCCTAGTGACATAAGAAGTCACCATTATGAGAAGAGTTAATGTAGGGAATATTTCAAGCATTATCCAAACTTGAACCCCACTGTGATCATACACTTAAGCATGGAGGCGTCAAAAGGGAAGAAAGCTAGAGAAAAAGAGTCGCTAACAAGTTTTAGGAACTTGTAAACCGTTCACAAGGTGAAGGTTACACCCCTTAACGATCCAGAAGATCGTTAACTCCAATAGGTCTGGAACCATAACTGGAAGTTCGGGGATGAAGGTACAAATCCAACCTAAAAGAGATTGAACCTGCCCTAATAATAGGCCTCTACTTTATTCTTCTCGTATTCATGTGCACTTTCTGACTAACATGCAATCATTAGGTTAACCCTAAACCTGTTTAATCTATGTTGGTTGAATATTAAATACACAAATAAATCTATTATTGGCGATCACTTGAATTATAATCAAATTAACCTTAAACTAGACTATTAATTATCTTATTAAGCGTGATTACAAGTACAAATTCCCTTTAAACATGCATAAAAGGCGTGATCAAGCAATAACAATAAAAATATCAAGTAACATAATAATAACAATTATAAGAATAATCATCATAATCATGTTAAAGCATAACAATAGCAAGATCCCAGGCATGATACTAACAAGATTAATAACAAACCCTAGCATGTCACTAAACATCAAAGATCAAATATATAGCCCTAACATGATACTATTATGAAAGACAATAAAAGGCATCATAGAAATCATAATTGACATTATATTCTTTACCCTAAACATGATACTAGGAACTTATTGTTGTCATTCTAAACATCAAATTAAGAAAAAATCCTAACATGATACTAGGAACCAAAATAACAACCTAGACATGATTTCTACATCATAATATCAATAAATCAATTAAAGCACTTACTTGGATGCTGACAGGGTAAAGTCGTATCCCCAAATCAAAAGTAATACCTAAGTCCTCTAACTAATGCAGATAGGGAAGTACGGTCGAATCCACAGAGAAACGAGTCTTTCTATTCCTAATTAACTAATATAATATAGATTATGAAGTAACCAATATTTATATTTGAATAATAAACTAAACTACGGAGATCAAGAATAGGAAGAAAATGATATATAAAAGGATCTAGGGCATAGGTTCACCAATAAATAATATTCCAGGGTAGAATATAATAATCATTCATCAATGCATATATCAATAAGATTATATAGGGCTTTCGCTACGTTTTATAATCACACAATTAATTTACCGGTATTAAATCTCATCTTTCGAATCTCGACCTAACCATTTATAAATTAACTTGCCTATTGAAACTAGACCTAAACATCAATTCTCATCTGTCGAATCTCGGATCAATATTGTCAAACTCATGCATAAAAGATCAGGCCTAATCTAGTCACAGAGCATTAAATCAATCAATAGGAAATTAATCTAGCATTGACAATTAACAACAATAAATTACTCCATATTATTTATGGATCCCCATAAACCCTAGAAATAGAACTACTCACACATGGTAAAAACTAAACTAATCAAAGCAATAAAGTAAGACATGATTAAAGGAATAAAATAAACAACTAAGATTAAGAGAAGAGAAATCGTTACCAAAATAAATCTGGAATTAAGAATGGATTAAGAACAAAGGTTTTAGAGAAAAGAAAATCTAAGAGAACAATTAAGAGAGTAAAGAAAGAGTAAAGAGAGAGAGAGAGAGAGAGAGTTAGAGAGAGATCCTAAAATCGTATTACGGAGGAGTATTTATACTCCGTACAAATCCTAAACTAAAACAAACTAAAACGACGCTAATCGTCTCCTAATAATTACACGCGCCCGATCGGGCGCGCCTTTTTGCTTATCAGGTTGAATCTCACGCCCGGCCGGGCGCGTCACCGGGCGCCGACTTTAGCTTCTCCCGCCCGGCCGGGCGCGCCTCCGGGCTCGCCTCCGGGCGCCAGCCTTTTTGGCCGGGCGGCTCTCTTGGGCCATTAATTGGACTACGATTGGGATCCAATTATTTGGGCCAATCTGGGTTTCCTCTTCCGGTCTTGAATACTCGTTCCAAATGCCCTGGTATCACCTATACCGAGCCCTTAATCACCGGTTCGATGGCTCTAACCGGTCCTGGGCTATAAAATCTGGTCCTGCTTCTCCAATGTTCGTGATTGCTCCAAAATATCTCAGGAAAATACTCCAAAAGTGTAAATCCCTGCAAAAGTCAACCAAATCTACGAAAACACTAGAAAACACCAATTAGTAATAAAAGTGGCTCTAAAGAGCCAAAAACACTACTAATTATGACCAAGGGACGGGGGTAAAATACTATATAAAATGGACACATCAAACTCCCCCAAGCCAAACCTTTGCTTGTCCCTAAGCAAAGATCTCATCAATGAATCAATAAATATGTTTCACCCCAAAAAAGTAAAAATCAAGCACAAACGATCCAGGGTAAATCAAATAAACATGCTTCAAAATCAACCAATCAAATCCATCTAATTACCAATCTTCCCTAACAATTGTTAAACAGAGCAAACCACAAGGGCATATAGAATTCAAGACTAGTCTCACGCACTCAACTCTCATTTTTGTGGCGAGTAAAAGATGTACTCGATCGCTCTCCATCCAACCCTTTATGTGAACAATGCCCTCCCACTCACACTCTCGTGTGTATAAAACAATGAACGCTCAACCTACTAGTCGACTCGAAATATGTCAAGTCATAACTTACATTGATAAACAACACTTTCACATTCATACAACTCTATGCACAAAGGTCAGAAGGTCTTTAAAGCTTGTAATGTAAGGCTAGGGTAAAAGGTCGGAAAAATTTGGG